AAGTAATAAACTCGAAAACGTAGCGAATGAAATCAAACAAATGGACTAATCTATGGAAAATACAATTTGCAATTAATGAAACAAAATCAGTTCACATAAAGACCACGTTAAGAAAAGAAGAATACCTACCGATCACATTAACCCATTTGCATCATAACCGAGAAGTCACGCGTACTCGTTTGTTCACGATCGCGCGCGGATGAGTCCCTGCGCTCCCGTGCCTGGGCGCGGGCTCCACGCGCGCTCTGATTGGCCAGTGTTTTTCGTTAATAATTCAAAAACGAAGCTTCAACCAACATTTTGGCAAAGGAAAAAGTTGTTCAGAGTCACCCCAGCAACCCCCCATTTGCAGGTGTTCGAGGAGTTACGGGACACCCTGTATATACGCGCATTCAAAGACACCAGGGAAAAAACGACAAGTTGCACCATGTCAAAATTTACTGGTCAACATTTTCCAATACTGATAGGAACAACTTCATCCAGAAAATCTCAAAAGCGTTGTATAGTTCGTTCATCACAAATAAAATAGGAAATAAACAATTTATCAGTATAACTACCAAATCCTATTACACTGTACAAAACAATTAGTCTAGATTGTTCAAATCAATGAAATATTAAGTTTCTTATACTTTCTGAGATATTTGTAATTAAATTTAATAAAAAAAAAAAAATTTCATGTTAAGGGTCTATTTTTCATTTTTTTCAAATGATGCAAATTGGTCAAACGAAAATATAATACCATATGATAATCATGCAAAATATCTAGGAATGTATTTAGATTCCAAATTTAAAAGGGGGATAGATATAAAAAGAATGAGTAACTATTAATTTTATAGTCTTCTGAAAAATGCAACGGGACGTTTTATTTTGTAGAAATGAGACTTGTTTAGGTACGACGATCAAATCAGAAATGATTTTTCTATCGCGCTATTTAAAAAAAACAGAAGTACATTCGTGATTTTTAACGGTTGGAGGCATCGCTCACAACGGTCGTTGAAAACGACAAACGCGCACGTTACAGATCAAAGGGAGCCGATACTATCAAAAAAGAATAAATTTCGGTTCATTTCAACTGTTTCGAAAAAGGTGAAATCGGCATGCAATGTGTTAATAAACGATTCCAAGTAAAGACACGAGTGACAATAGGCTATACCAACTGGACACACTCCTACCTTATCACCAAAACTGAACCTAATATCCGCGACACTTGTGACACACAAAATTCTATCAATAACATTCTGATTACCTGCCCTAAGTACAGTATGGGAAGAGCACAGCATGACTTACATACCAAATTCGATAAATATGGTACAAAAAAAGATATCGGACTCCTAAAAGATATTGGACTTCACTACCTAATATAGGTTACGTTAGGTTCCACCTCAACATACGCTATAATATTAGGAATAGAAAAATATAGCGTTCTGTTTAAAAAAATTAACTTGACTTTGATATCTCCCTCACTATTACACCTATAGAAAAATTATTTACACCACTTAATGTCCCCCTGTATACAAAATAACTTTTGTAAGAACATTTTTTTGATAACTTCAATCCTTCATGAGATTTTCCACTGTTTCCAGTTCAACGGAACACCCTGTATGTGTAAGTGCTTTCTACTTTAGAATATACATAGGTAGTAAGTGACTTTAATTATTAATATCTTTCAAACAACTAGCCGTCTGCTCCCAAAATGGGGTATAGACATACAGTAGTGCACACATAAGCGTCCGCATTTTTGCACACTTAAGCGTCCGTCGCTATCCCCACCAATTCTTGGAAACGAGACTTCGGAGAGGAGTTCGAGCGTGCCGAGTGAAACAAAGTAATTCGATATCGACTCCTGAATATGAACAACTGACACTTGATATATCGGTATCCCACTCAGCACATCTCCTCTCTTTTGTTTAGTTAAATTCGCAGAAGTCACCTCCCCACTTGAGCGTCCGCATTCGGTCCCGACTGCGGACGCTTATGTGTGCACTACTGTACCTAGTCTGATGAATTCTATAAGCTGGCAAAGTTTTGTTAATAAGTGTATTTCGGGAGTTCTTCTTGTCAGAATCACTGTCCCAGTCAGCTGTTTGTTCATCTGTATAAGAGCAACTTGAATAAGGATGAACAAGTACTAGGTCATCTCGTAAGTTCTTGTCGAATTTTATAATTTAGATTAATATTTCTGACGAATCTTTAAATTTTGGGGAAAAAAGAAACGTAAGCGCCTTCTCATTCTTTTTGGTAATACCATTATGCCGTCGCTATAGAATTTCTTTGGATTTTCATTAAAATATTTTTCGCTTTCGGCACGAACTTATGGGATGATCTAATATTACGTATAGAAATACAGTCACGCGCCGTATAACGATGTTTCGGTGAATGATGGATCGAATATACAATGAAAAACTTTTATTTTTTATACCGTGTTTTTACTATACTTTTTCAATGTTCAGATATGCTTAACGTGTCTTGCACGTGCACATATCATAACTGATCCTCCGAGAAGCGCAATTTCATTTAATTATTTTCTTTCACTCTCCATATTGCGCTATCCTTTCTATTCCATTGCAAAAATGCAAGCCACAGCGTTATAAATAAATGGGAAACTTATTTCTACACGCCTAGGAAATAATTACAAAAAAAAATAAAATTGATCATGTTTGGCACATCAAGTTGAGAAAAATGTGAGCGTTAAGGGGTTAAATACACAAATATATGTATACTTACCATTGTGTTACAATTGCCTACAGTATTCAATACAAGAACATGCTGCACAGGTTGGTAGTCTATAGGAACAATAGTCTATGCTATACAGGGTGAGACACCTAAAACAGACCTGAATATCTCGACTGTTATTGGTGATAGAAAAAAATGTGTCAGACCAAACTTGCTTGATGTTAAGTAGCACATAATTTGATGTAAATGGTTTTCCATCGCTTTTACCATCTAGTAGAGCGTTTTAAGACGCGTAGAATGACCTATGGTTCGAGATCATTCAAGGTCACTGAACGTCAACTGCAAGGGAAAATAATTTACTATACGTGAGCGATATGTAAATATAAATTATATTATATTATACTATATAAATTGTGTGCCCCTCGATATCAAGCAAGTTTGGTCTGACACATTTTTTTCTATCACCAATAATAGTCTTCTTTAGGTGCCTCGCCCTGTATAGAGTAAATAGGTGTGTATATGTATATGTAGTAGGCTACACGCAGCAACACGTTATTCTTTACATTCCAAACAGCTTTGCAGTGTAATTTGATTTTCTACGACGGCGTGCCAACAAACAGTATTTCCAACACCTATTTGTATTTCTAATGGTTCTTGTAAATTCGATAGATAACAAAATTTGTAGTACGGTGAAAATATTTTTGACGATATAATTGATGTAGAAGATTATGTAACGGAAACAGAAGTTTAGAAAGTTTAGATGAACGCATAGGAATTGAACGTAAGAATTTTAGATATTATAAATCAAGAGGCAATTCTATATTACGGCGTGCTCGTGCAATACCTCGAAATGATCGAATGTGAAAATAAAACATTTTATCGCCTCACTTAGGACCGACAAAGCAAGTGACAATATAATACTAAAATTATATTACACAAGTCTAACAAATTATTACAAGTCGTAATAATTGAACGAACTGCGATTTATTTGTTTATACTCATTTCTTGCAAATGTACGATATTGGATCAATTTGACAAAACTTTACTTGTTCGTGTAATTTTACAAATTCCGTACAAGAGTTAACCTCTCATTTCTCAAATCGTATCCCTGTCGATGCATGACGGTATAGAATCCTATACTTCATTTGCGATCGTAAAATATCCTGTTCTATACCTTATTTGTAATTTCACAGTTATATTTAGCATTAATTCCAACCACAAATAATATTGTAATCTGATTCTACGCTGAACGAGTAACATTGGAAGTGGCATGAAAATGGTAAGAGGGCTTTAAAACCCCCAAGCTGCGGGACAAAAAGATACATCGAGTGATAGGTCTATCCTATACTCTATGGTTATAGGTCTGTTCTTTACCTCATCTGTGTTATTATTCCGCGTAGCGCCATCATGTGGCGCATAAAAGATTAAAACAGTGTTATTAATAAAATATTGAAAAAATATTTTTCGTAAAATTATGAAGTATTATAATACGTCAAAACGGCGTTCGAAAAAACATTCTTTATTTTGCTTTTTGTAGAACAGTGACGTAACAAAGAAAACAATACGATTGTAACAATAGAGTTATATTTTAGAAAATTTAAACAAGTGTTCCTTGATACAAGTTCTTAGCGCTGAAAATATGATTTGTTAACGTACGTTATGTATTATACTATAATTTTATTTTTTTCTATCATATTAGGTCTATGCAAGAGTTTCTATCGCTTGTAAATCAACGACACCAAAAGGCACTGTATGTTTCTTTTCTTTTTTCAATTCTCACAGTTGGTATTTATAATACAATAAGTATATAGCATTAATATTATACTATCATTATTATTTTAATAACGACTAATTAGAAATGCAATAAAAAATAAATACACATTCTCCACAGAAATACGACGAGATCTTTTGCATAAATCTACATAATTGCAAATACAAATCAGCCAGTTAAGCAGTTTCCTTCAGTTTACAGAACTTTTCGACGAATGAAAACACGAAAATAAGTGAAAAAAGAAGTGTTGCATATTAAATTTTCATTCTTTCAATTACCACTAAAGTTACATTGATCTTTGAATAAAAGGGAATACACACTACAGTTTGGTAAATAGATTTTTGAATATCCCGCCCTCCCCCAGTCAGGGTTCAGCATCCATGACTATCGAGACACAATTTCGTATTGAGGGAGCTGGAAACTACCCCTATTTTCACTCAGATTAGGTTAGCCTAACCTAACCTTGAATCGAAATGAAGCCGGAATTTCCTATTCAACTGGATTTGTGCGAATTCGATACGCGTGACCAAATTAATAAGCAGAATGCATTGTTTACCTGAATTCGACGAGGAGAATCAGTTGGGCCAGTTATTGATCGGGAAATGTAGGTCGAACTTTCGTTCGATTTTTCTCGGTCGATCTTTCCGACAGTGTTTTCGACTGGGTTTCTTCTTCTATAAAGCGCGTGACATTTATCGACGTTCCTCGTGGAGTTTGCGTATTAGAAGAGTTGCTCGACACTCCTCTTCCGCAGAGCGGGTCAATTTGCTTTTGAATTTGACAAATTCCCGAGAAATCACGCGACAACGAGGATTTACAAGTTGAAAATTCGAAAAACGTTGTTTCCACGAAGATCGACAGATCGTATATATTTCTTTCCAGCACGAAAACGTATTTGAACAGTCGAAAATACTCGGATGCCGTGTATTTGAAAAAAAGTTCAATGTTTCGTGTAACATGGTTAAAGGGAACTTGCTTCTTGCCAAAATTATGCTTTGCTAACTTTTGTTTAAAGTTTTCCTCAAAAGTCAGGCAAACGAGCTAAGTAAATTTGAAAATAGTATTGGATAATTAATTATTTTTAATTTGCCAATCTCATTTTTATTTCCTTGTATAATACATTTCTGAATTACTGGAAAATAAATAGTATATAACAAGTTCTTTTAAAGGCTTAAAAATGAAAAGAATTAATTTCTATGTTTGTGTATGAAATAGCTTGTTTCACGTGATCGTTGAACGGTAATGAAAACAGCTGTACTCTGTAGATAAATAAGATTAATCCGTGCGATTAAGTTACAATGTATTTTCTGTGAAGAAAGCTGTGAGATATTTATTCAGTTTTAAACAGATTCTCAATACTTCAGTTATAAATCTAGTAATTCGTATTTAAATACTTCCAATTTAATAGACTTATCGCAGAGTACTTTTCTAATGAAAATTTTTCCATTTTAAATTAGAATTAATATACCTAT